AACGCCACACTTGAAACGTATATACGAATAGGAAAGAGATGGTGATGACCATCATGATGATGATGAGAAGGGTGATGATGATGACCATCCTCATGATGATGATGAGGATGATGATGAGCATGACTGTGATGACAACTATCATCGTAACATGCTTCGCGTCACCAATGCTGCCCAATAAGGGATGATGATGACCATGATGATAATGATGACAAGGATGAGGGTTGTGATGATATCTCTCGTCGTAGCATCCTCTGCATCACCAATGGTGCCTAACGCCACACTTGAAACGTATGTACGAATAAGAAAGAGATGATGATGACCATCATGATGATGATGAGAAGGGTGATGAGGATGATGGTGACCGTCACCATGATGATGATATGGATGATGATGATGACTGTGATGATGATGAGTGTGACGATAACTATCATCGCAGCATCCTTTGCATCACAATTGTTTCCTGACAAGGGATGAGGAGGACCATGATGACAGTGATGATGAGGATGAAGGCTGTGATGATAACTGTTATGGTAGCATCCATCACCAATGCTGCCTAGTAAGAGATGATGATGACCATGATGATAATGATGATAAGGATGAGGATTGTGATGAGAACTACCATCGTAGCATCCTCTGCATCACAAATGCTGCCTAACGCCACACTTGAAATGTATATAAGAATAAGAGATGATGCTGATGAGAATGATGATGATGATGACAGCAATGATGGTGATGATGACGAGCAGCGCCAGAAACAAATCTGACTCATCCGACCGCTTGCGGAAGTGGTCGGATGGAGCGGCCCGAACAACATCTGCGGCGCCGCCTGTGTCAGCAGATGACGACTGTGATGATAACTATCATCGTAGCATCCTCTGCATCACCAATGCTGCCTAGTCAGAGGTGATGACGACCATGATGATAATGATGAAAGCCACATCCAGCAATTGAAATGTATATGAGAAAGAGGTAGTCATGACCATCATCACCACTACACACCCCCAGCACCAACAGGACTGATGATGAGATTCCCAGCATCTGTAGCAGTGATGCTGATCGTCGATGACCATCATCACCACTACAGCACCAAGAGGACTGATGACGAGATTCCCAGCATGTGTAGCAGTGATGCCGATCGTCGATCGCCCTTCCCGTGCGCCTGCCCCTTTGAGGAGAAGGGGTCGGCGGACTTTTGGGCGGGCGTGTTTTGGTTAGGGCTGGCGGTTACCCTGGTTGGTTGGTGACTTGTTGGTTGGTTGGTTGCGCGCGGGTGTGGAGTCGTGGCAGAGCCCGGCAGGGTCGTGGGCGTGTGACTCCTTGCCAGCTAAGGGGGAACGCGCGCGTAGCCGCAGCAATTATCTTGTTTTTGCTTGTCGCACAGACTGCTGGGGTTCTGCAGAGTCCGGCGGAGTCGCGTCTGTGAAACTTGCTTGCTCGCGTAGGGATAGAGTTGCAGATTCGTGGAAGTAGAAGGTGCGTTCAAAGCGTTGCGCCGGTGGTTTTGTGGTGGTCAGCAGGCGTGCGTCTTCAGGGTGGCCGGGCTTTTGTGGTTGAGTTGGAGGTCTCAAAACAGGGCCCGAAAACGTCAACTGTTTCTGGCTTCGCTTCCCTGTCAAGGCGTAAGACTTCTTGTTGCGCGCAGCTGCGCGCCATATAGTAGGGGAGGCATCAGTATGGCCATCGGCCGACAAACACCTAGCAGGGGCCAAAGGGCTTTCAGGAATCAAACGCTGTTTTGGTGAGCGATGGGGCCAGTCTCTGTGTGCTGTCCACTGGACTCTTACAGAATTCCCCGAAGTTCTTTTCGGCTAAAAACGAGTTCCGGGGCGCCGGCCAAAAAGCCCCAGCAAGCAATCAAGCCTTATTTTGTTGTGCCCGCAAACGAGCCTGGGCTGCGAAAGTGTACCGTTTTTACTGCACGCACTGACAAGTTGCGACTTTCGAGCCGGATGCCAAAGTGCACTTCCTTCACCACACTTGTGCTGAAGACTTCGGGCCGGAAAGTTGCGACTGTCGAGCCGGAGCTACTTGCTTCACCACACTTGTGCTGACAAGTTTCGACATTTCGAGCCCACTCTGCCAAAAAGCTACACGGTTCTCTCAAGCTGGCAAAGTGTACTTCGTATTGTGCATGTTACAATTTCGCGATTTCGCAATTGGCTCACATAGAAAAAGCTCTTTTCCCTGAGCCGCGAAAGCAGGCGTAAGGGCGAGCGAAAGGGATCGCATCTGTACTAACAGTGGCAACAAAGTAAAGATCAACCCCAGACAACATGTTTTTGCCCCAAACAACTGCACGTGCAAGAGGATTCTGTCACTGTTTGTGCTCTGTTGAAGCCTTTGTTTGTTGCCTTTGAGTCAGGTCGACTTGCAGAGCCTCTCTTTCTCTCTTCGCCTCGAAACAGGTCCGGCCACCGCGGCCGCCCTCACCTCCAGAGATGGGGCCTGCCGAGCCTTTGGAGAGGCCACCTCATTTTCCCTCCGAGCCGTTTTTTAGTTTGTTCGATGCTGTTAGGTTAAAGTTCAATCCGCCCTCAGGCAGGCAGGCATGCAAGCATCCGCGATACCTAACACGCAGTCACGCGGGTGCTTGAGCCAAATAAGCCACCTAAGACGGAAAAACCGGACCATTGGCGCCCGATTGAGCTACTTGATCCAGGCAGCGCATGCCAGCCAACTCGTTCAACAAAGGGCCCAAAAGGTCCAATGGTATTTGAGCTGTTGTCAGCTCAAGAAATCTTATCGCTGGGATAGAGTAGACTTGCGCCTGGTGTTTAATTTATCAACCACAAGCTGGATTCGGGAAAGTTCAGAACGTGACCAACGCCAGCAAAAACTGCGCTTGGAGCTGCAGCAAACCTGCAGACAGCTCTTAGTCGGAGCGAAACACAAGGCGGCACGCGTCACTAAGTCTGCGGGGTTCTCAATTTGCGGATGGAAAAGGTCTGCGCCGTGGCTCCACGGCGCAGGCGACGCAGTTAAGGCAGACGAGGACCGGTGCCCAAATGAGTCCATTGACGCAGCTAAGCCAGTTGCAGTCTCAGTTGAGCCAGTTGAACCAATCACGCTGCAAGCCCCGGTCAGTCACTCGATTTGAACAGTTCAGGAAGCCGGTCCAACCAGCCGACCTTGAGCCGCCCAAGTCAGTTGAGCTAGCCCGGGCTAGTTGAGTGAGTTAAGCCCCCTGTTGAGTTTTGCAAGGATGGAACCCTGAATCTGTGTTTTCCGCTCGTAGGCGGTGGTCCTTCTGAGTCGACACCATGGCGCTGCATGACTTCTTTTGCCTTTCTTTTGCCTTTCATTTGTGCCATGGTGTCATGGCATGACATCGCTTCCCAAATTTTCTGAAGCTTCTGCTTTGCTTTGGGCAATCCGAGTGCATGCTGGGCCCGCGGAGCTGAAGACTGGTTCAAGGCCTGCCGGGCCCATTGAGTTGGCCGTTTGTGTTTCTTCAAATCGGACCTAGAAAGGTTTATTCGCCGCCACCCAATGGTACCATAAGACTTTATCCTTAGAGACATACTGGTGGAGTTGTGAGCAGTCGAATACCATCAGCAGACTTTCTTCTCCGACTCTGAACTCGAAACCGTTGAGTCGCAGACGAATGTTTGTAGGTGTGAAGGAATCTGCAATCTGCAACTCAACAAGAGGATCGCAAGACGACTTGGGAGGCCGGTGACCCTTGCAGATTCCTGCGTCTAAGAGATCATCTCACTGCCACTGAAGGGGCAAGCGAATTCAACAGAGCACTAGGCACCGGTGAGAGCATGGCACCTCACCTCACTTGCGCCGTTGATTTGGGAAACCTGAATCAAATTTGGGCGCAGTGAGTGCAGCAAGAACCAGGCTTGGCAAAAAACGACCCGAGTCTTATTTGTGCGAGCATCGAAGAACAAGACAAGAAAATACATGGTCAGTGTATGGCAGCTTGCTTGGAAGCTTGTTCACACTTCGTCAACTACGGTGCTGCTTAATTCCTTGTCATATATCCTTTTTTTTCTTGAGTAATATTCATACTAACAGGCACAGAGAGAAGGAGAGAGAGAGAGAGCGAGAGATAGATTTGGGTTGAACGCACCAGTGGTCAGGTGAGGAACGTGCTTTGCCACACGAGGCCCTGCGCATGTCCTCAAAGCGGTAGCAAGTTCACACGGAGTTCATAGCCTTGGATGTTGTCGTTTCTATATATAACCACAGGGGCCGACTATACTATTGTAGAAACCAGAATTGCAAGAGGTGAGGTTGTTGAAGGTGCAATTTCTCACCTTACCCCCAATGGAGCCACAATCAAAGCCCGGGCAGATAAGAGTTAGTAAGGGACAATCCCAACCATAAATAGATGCAGCCGGCTTTCTACTTCTTTACATGGTTCAGGGTTGTGTTGATTGTGACTCAATTGGTGGCTCGGCTCGGTTTGGACGGTAGGTACATGTGCCCCAAGCAAGTTGTCCGTCTATCTTAATCGAAAGCAAACAAGTCCACCACAGCTGCTTGCGGTGCTGAAGGAGCAAAAGCCGGCCTCAGGTCACGAGGCCCCTTCCACAGCCATTATAGCTTCTATAGCTACCCTCCCAATAGCTTCTAGAGGCCCATCAGAGCTTCATAAATTCCTGGCGCCCGCCTTGTCAGGTTCTTTCCTCATTGCTGGATATTGGCTAAATGCTTACTCGGGGATTTCCCGGCCCACGTTTCACCATGTATGCCTGGAGTTGCATATCGGTTTTGCGTTTACTGCCTATTGCGGGTGTCTCCTTCCTGTTATTGACCGTCACACTTCAATTTGTCAATTGTTAATTGTGCACGCGCCAGCTTTGAAGCCGCCAAACCGGATTACTCACTTGCGTGTTTCCATTTTTCTGGTGTCTTGCAAGATCTTGGACACTTCCGGGCGCGGTCGAAGCTTTACAGCGGACAAAGGCCACCCTCCAGCTCTGTTTTTGACAGGTGTGAGGGTTTCGCCTTAGGTCTACAGCTGTTGCGTGGGTCGTAGTGATGCGCTGCTTGCCTTTGCGGCCTCGCACAAGACGCAAGTTAGAGTCCGGGTCTTTGAAGTCTTGAAGCCATGGCATGGCAGGAAAGGGAGCTTGCAAGATACTCTAGCTCGCTCTATGGGCGAGGTACATTTGTTCGACGTCGCGCAGGGCAAGAAGGTCAAAGTATTCAAGGAAAGGTCTAACAAACTGCATGCGGCTGTTCCGGTCGTGGTCTGATGTGTTTTCACGGCCAGGACAGCCATACTGACGTGGTCAACCACGTATGCTTCCATCCTCAGACCGGCCAGCTTTTCACGGCAGCAGAGGCGAGAATACCCTTGCAACTCTGCAACATTTGCCACCTCTGTGCCGGAATGCCGCTTCATCACTGATTGGGATCTCTTTCTTTTTTTGCTCGGAGCAGTGCTGATGTTCACCCCGAACCTTTTCGGAGCATTTAGGCTCGAGCTAAGCAGGATCGGTTTGGCATGGAGGATACTTCAAGAAGAGCTGGAACAGGAGCGTTGGGATCATCTCCCAGCAGGGACGCGATGCCAATTCCTGAGTCTCGGTTCTGGCCCAAGCCAGCAAAGCCGATAGAGGAGCAAGGAGATGATGGGCATTCTGTACTGCAAAAGTTTGCAACAGCCTTAGATCAGCAGTCAGAAGAGTGGCCTGAGGACGAGGAAGATGAACTTGCGCCGTCCGGATACTCGTTCATGAGAGGCGGAGGATGCGGAGGGATGTTTTCCGGCCCCTGGTGGCCTCTGGCCAAAAGTCAACCAAAATCAACCCCGGTCCGGCGCGCACATCATGTCCCTGGCGAAAGGCCGACATGGCATGCAGTGTGGTGCCATGAACGCAGCCACAAAACAGATGCATCCGCAACGCGAGCTCAGCTGCAGGCTGTGATCGCAAGATACGGGGGCGAGTTGGTTTGTCACAAGACAGCAGTCAAGCTCAGGAATTGGCTTGACGATAATACAACTGCCCGCTTTTTGCTGGTGTCAGACTGGCGTCAGCTCAAGCCGTGTTTGGATCACTTTGCTGTGACGCAGCCTCTGCCAGAAGCAGTAATTTTGCTGTGCGAAACAGCGAAGATTTGCGCCAAGGCTCACCAGTGGAATGAAGGCAGGGCAGCGACACCCTTTCCTTTGTACATCATGATGCTCGAAGATGACTGGACTTCCCGGCTGAGTTACGTGTGTGAAACAATCATGGCTTCAAGCGTGTCTGGAGCCAGCCTTGGAGATCGTCCCAGCTCGGCAGGTCAAATGGAAAACAGGGCCAGCTTGGAAACTCCAATGCCTACCCCCCTGGTGGCGCCAAGCCCAGTGCCCACTCCAGTTGCCTGGTTTGGAAGAACAACACGATTCAGTCTGTGACGCTCCATGTGACGCTCCCAATTCAGAGACCTTCCTGGTCTCCCTCCAGTTGTCACATTATTTGAAAGAGAGCCCTTCTTGCCTGCCAAGCAGCATGAAAGAGCATATCGCCAAGCAACCTTGGCGACGCGTCAACCATGACATGGATTACTTGCGGTATATACTCTCCGCCATTTTTTAGCTTGCACGGCATTCGAGATGCTAAGAATATTGCCGCACTCACTTTGTTCACATCCGCAAGGACAACGTAGCTCGCACAGCGGAGCCAGCACTTGAGGCTTTGTTGGGCAGCATTTGTCAAGGTGTTGTCATTCTATTATGTGTGTATCAATGCCATGCGCTGCAATGCAATGCAATATAAACATAACATCATGTAATGCAATTTAGTGTACTGTCGTGCATGCATCATGCATGATTGCATCCACACTGAACAAACACATCGCATTAAATTACATGACCTGACGTTACGCTACGTGACATTACGTTACATTAGACACATGTACATGACACACATGCTGGTACATGTACATGCACAACGCACGCACATGAAATACACAATATAGATGGTAATACTAATTTGACTGTGTCAGACTTGTGTCGAGTGAGCGTGGCCTAAGCCGATGTAGCGCTCGGGCTGTTGACCTTAGCTCAAGGCCTGGGCCAAGATTTAGCATATGCGCACGCAGCTCAGTGTCTTAACGCGCTTCCGTGCCATGTGCCATAGCACAAGCCAAACAAACTGCAGGCTTTCAAAATTGCGCCTCTGCTGGACCTGCATGTAGCATCAGTTTAGTCCATCCGGAACCCTTGCTGGCTTGGGTGTGTATCATGTGTGGCTCCCGTTCAAGAAGGTCGGCTAAGCAGCCATATACAGCGTGTGCAAAATTCCAGGCGAGTCTTGTTTTTCCTTTTTGAAAAGAAACGGGCCCCCGCTTGGAGCTAGCTCGGCGCTAGAGCGGGAAAGTTTGCAGTTGGGGCTTCCAAAGCCTGTGTTCATCTAGTCTCGCCAAGGATGAGATGCGGATGTTTTCACGCGTCCTGCGCAGTGGCCCCTTCTGCGACAATACTAGAGCGGCGGGTAAAAAGCTGAATGCATTGGCAAGGGCCAACATTTTGACAACCGACAATGTGTGTATGTGCCTTTCTGTGTGTGCAACGTATGTATGTGAGTAACCTGTGTGTGTGCGCAAGTATGTGTTAATAGCTTGCGAACGGCACACTCATTTCGCATCAACTACAGCACACGCGGTCATATTTTGGCTCAAGAGTTACATTTCCCGTAGCTAGGGTCCAATATCTTTCGCTACTTGTAAAGGGTTGTCTAGGATTCTAGGATTGTGGGTCGGACAACAAAACAATTCCCAGTGCTTGCTGAGTGACTGCGGCTTCCCAGCGGGCATTGCGTTCATTTTGGGGGAAGTTGGGATGTCAAGTGCTTCTTCTCGATTCTCAGGTTATCATTTATCCCACGTGTGAGACGTGATCTAGGACGATAGGGTATATCCCACCGATCCATATAGATCAGCCTCATGCCGCCCAAGGGCTGCAGTATGTGCGTGACAATGTCCGATGGCCAATCTTCGATCACACTTGCTGGTCCAGCGGCGGCCCCCGTCATCGGTGCATCATCATAAGAAGCATTGGAGCCAGCCGGTCGCGGACCCGGAGACGCCGTTGTTGCAGTTGCGATTCCCCAAGGAACTCGCCAAATAACCCAACAAATGCTCGACGAGGAATAGCGGAAACAACAATCGAAGACGGAGTCTCATTTGCGTGACGCTGCAGAGCAGAGTGGTGAGAATCGCGCGTTGCGAAATGAATGCATCTGGGTGGAATCGACGATCCAAGCGCTCAGATCCGAGGAGGCTGGGAGCCTTCGGCGGATCTTAGGATTGGAAAGAATGAATCACACGAGTCACAGACTGCCCACGCCCACGGAAGAATGAAGCACGAGTATGAACTGCTGACAGAACAGTGACAGCTGAAGATGAGCCACGCACGACTGAACAAAGTCGAAGCTACTGCGTTTGCGATGAAGAATGAAGCCCAACGACACAAAGCAAAATGCGTTGAAGTCTCGGCATCTTTGAGGCAGGCAGTTGACGCTGCAACTGACTAGAGATCTCAAGCCGACGCAGGAAATGGCGCGGGAGCAAGACTAGAAGGTGAGGTCAAGCTATCAGGACGAGTTGAAGCACAAGCCCAAGCCTCGAGGGCAAAGGCGCAACGTCAGAAGCGGAATCAAAGGTGGACTGGTTCAGATCTGTAAAGGGCTGGCCAAGCGTGAAGCTGACTGTGAGGCTGGCTCTGACGGGCAAGGCCCCCAAGAAGTTAAGGAAGTTGAAGAGAGGGCCAGAATGGCAGCGGGTACAACTGAGTCAAGAAGAGACCTTGTCTATCAAGTTGAGGGATGAAGTTTCGGAAGCCAAGCGAAGCATGACTGGTCAGCCGGGAGCGAAGAACGGACTGTAATGATGAAGAAGAACACGAGTTGGACCGAGAGTGTGTCCCAATATCAACACGGCGCCGTCCAACAACAGCGCGCTTCGTTGCAGGATTTCAACAACCGTCTTCACGAAAAGAACTTGGATAACATGAGTGCAGGAAGGGTTGGAAGATTTGCGTGAGAGACACGAAGAACCAGTGAAAGGAGAGAAGGGGGATTCTGCTGAGACAATGAGTTGGATATCTGGAAAGGAAAACTACTATCCAACGTGCTTGCCGGATGTGGAGAACCCGACAATGAATTTACGACGCAGCACAGTTGGCCGAATCATGTAGCCCCAAGGCTTGTTAGCATAAGCTTGCCGACAGCGGGTGATCAAGGTTTTTGGGTATTGACAGCAAACTTGTGACCAGCCTGGAAAGATGGTCAAGGCTGTCTGTGGTCAGGCTTCCGAGGTAGCGTTGGAAGCGCAACAGCAAATCGCCAAGCCAACCAAGCTGGGCAAAGCGATCAACTGGAAGCAGATCAGCCCCATGCTGTTAGAAAGCTTTCGTACTTATGACACGGTGGGTCTTGTTTTCGGAGTGGAGCATCTCATAAGTTGACCTACCCGGGTGACAAGAAGATGGGAGCAGAAATGGTTGCGTATCATTGCTGGGATCAAACCAGAACCTGTGCCACACGAGGACGATGAGGGACACGCTGTGTCGAAAGCTTAAAGGAAACCGCGAAAACTCACAAGACTTGCTGAACATGACTGAGCGGAGGGCCAGGGCAACCAAGGAGGAGAAGAGCTGGGAGCACAGGGGGAAAATTTTCAAGGACAACCTCTTGGCTTCGGGGTTGCAGACAAACAGGGAAGGCCAAGGCAGAATCCAAGGAAGAAGTTACCTGGGCAGCAAGAGCGTTCCGCGTCACGTCAGTTCCACTTTACCGCGGGAAGCGCGCGAAAGGGTCCGATTGCAATTACAGTTGCTAGAACCAGGAAATGGAAGAAGAAACGCGAATGGAAACGGATTAACTTTTGTGCGGGGCCCCAAAACGACGGGGTCTGTTCATTCTGGCAGAAGGTGCATCCAGGGCAAGGGCTGCAAGACCAAACGCTCAAAGAGTGCAGCGTCTTCGGACAAGGGGTCAGACACTGAGAAGTCCGCTGACTCTGGGTCGAACGGCTAAGAAGATGAAGAAGGTTTGGTGTGGGAAGATTTGGAGAGCGAAGCCGAGCCCAACCTGCAGTTGGGACGTGGCTGCGGATAGTGATGCGGAAACGGAGTGTGTTCCGGCCACTCCTACGCAGAAGTTTCCTACGACAAGAAGAAGGGTGCGTGGACCAGATGTGTTACTTCCTTGAATGCAGTAATCAGGGAATTCCAGAGAGGCAGTTTTGTGATGATCGCGGCAAGACTAGGGTCAGCGCCAAGCGCGCCAAAGCTGATCAATACCGGGAAAGCGTAATTGCTGACGGCCAACGGGGCCAACGGAGGCCGCTCCGAAA